GGGGGGCCCGGGGGGAGACCGGTTTGGAGTGGAAGCGGGTGGAGGCCCCGGGGGAGCCGGTGGGTCGGGAGCGGTAGCTGCTACAACCGCATGATGGGCAGCACGGTCAGACTTTAATTGTTTTATTGCATCTGTGACTAATCACCAGGTAGTAAGGACCGTCTTCGCCTGCTCGTCTCCCCTAGTAGCCGCATCCAACAACAAGTCCCCTGCCTTATCCCAAGTTTCCGGTAGAAAGGCAGTAGTCGAGTCAGGGGGAATTCCCCTTTGTTTTAGCCATGCAAGCAGCAGGCGGAGGGTATAATCATCATACTTTATCCCACGGTTTTTTAAGAGTTTTTTAAAGATGCATAATATAGATTCCTCCTCCTTCGTTAACTGCGATCCCATTTTAAGTTCCCAGCTGCTCACCTCTGCTCCAACGAGGTGATGATCCAAAGTTCCGGCTCCAGCTCTTTCCGAGACTTCTCCGTCTCCCGCTGGCTGCTGTATGTTCAGCTGGGCTCCCCACCGGTGCTCAGTTCCAGCATTCGACGGGCCCCACGTTGGGCGCCATTTGCGGGGATTAACGGCACGGACTCTGGCAAGCAGCAACCAAAGACCCTTATTGCTCTATATTAGGGTAATTTATAGCAAGCAGAAGTGTCCACGCGCTATCCGCAGCCTGCAGATAGGTTACAGCCTTGTGTTCACGCACATCTATGCTCCAGCGGATAGGTCTGCTCTTCCTGACCATACAGCATGACTTCATGGTCCTTATCTTGTTTACTCCTTTCCAGCAGCTCATTCCTTTCTTCCTTATCTTCTGCCTGTGTGCTTTGTCACGGGTACAGTACCTGCTCATTAAAACCGAATTCAGTAATGTCCATAGTTAAAAATCCTATCCCCACAATTACCAATACACAGGGTTAAGCTAATATTTTTAGAAGCATTGACTAATTCTGCACATCTGGTTCAGACCTTTAGACCCCAACCCAGAAAAATCAGTCTCTCCACTTTTGTGCAGACTATTTGATTTTTCACAAGAATATAAGTGCATATTAGGAGCCCACATACTTGAGCAGATCTGAATAATAAAGCCCAGTATGGTGGCCCATATCTCCGACTGAAATAGTTTTCCTTTAATACTTTACCCATGCTTCTTTAGACTCATTGCCTAAGGCCTTCAGCAAATTTTGCCAGGTGTAGAGAGTAGATCTTACAAGCAAACCCCAGATGACTGTATTCATCTCACTGAAGTTTTTGCAGACTGTGTGCTTGGTTCCCAATGCTACATACGAAACTCTAGAGTAAAATATTGTCACATACCGAAATAAAAGGTTTTGTCATCCTCTTAGGGCTTTTTGGTTTGGCGAGCAATGCTGAAGGAACAGCACCTGGAGCACCCACTGACTGGCTGAGGATGAAGACTTCCACTCAGTGCTAGATGTTAGTCTGCTGGGATTGATTGAAATCACACTCAAGCTTCTGCCACTTCTGAAAAAAGCTGAGGGAAGAGTAGTCAATCTATTTAATGCCAGGGGCCTCATGGCTTTTGTAGGGGGTGGCTACAGCCTGTCCAAATGGGGTATGGAAGGTTTTCTGACACCTTATGGTGAGTGGCTAGAAAAACATGCATGAATCCAAGAACAGATTCCAGATGTGCTGAGGAAGGGTGACTGTATGTTTGCCCCTCTTGTTTTCTCTCTGGAAATCTTGCCTAAAGGGGGAAAGGAAAATAAGAGGATGTTGGTCACTTGTTTGGGATTTCAGTCTCCAGTACTATGAACAGACCCACCAGGAACCTGCACTGGGAAAAAAATTTCATATGCTGGACAAATGCATGCAGCTTTTGGGCATGTGAATCCACTGTGTACACAAAAGTAAATCAACAGTATAGCCTGGTCAGACACCTAGAGTTTCCTGGGCAAGTTGTACTTAGTTGTACTTGCCCATTTACAACCCATTTTATTTTGCTCTGATGCTCCACAACAATCTGAGCTGGGCGATTCCAGGCAGCAACCACATTACCAAAGGTACTCATAACTTCAGAAAATTAAGCTGAGCACCCTTCACTGAAGCCAGTTGTGTTGTAGCGCCTTTAGAAGGCTAAGGCTTAGCCCAGTGAGTCAAGTCTTCACAAGGGCTAGGAAAGTTGGTTGCAAACCATGATGAATGCTTATATAAAGACAGTATATGCCCCAAGGAAATATAATAGAAACTAATGGCTAGCGTATATGTGGTCCATTCCTTTGCACACTTTGGAATGTAGCTGCCTGGGTCTCTTGAGCTGCCCAGCAAGACAAAGAGGCCATTTTCATCCCAAAGGAATTGCATTGCAACTCAAAATTACATAGAGGGAACCATGCTACCAGAAAACACACTAACCTTTATTGCACTAACATTTAATCACTTAACCATAGCCATTTAACCATACAATGGAGAGTAAAGTTCTAATCCAAATGAAAATTTTTTCTCACTTTTACTTTTTCCCAGGCACTTTAATAATCTGTTCCTGCTGGAAGCTGAAATGATGCAATAGTATCTGAAATAGTCAAAAGTTTTAGTTTGACTAAAAAATGATGCAGCTGGCTGCTCATCCTTTGCATCAGTCCAACATAAACCACACAGAAAGCTGTGAATCTACCCGACACTGCTTTTTTTCCTCAGAGTTAACTGCCTGCTGCGCTTTTACAGGACAGGTACACGGCTATGAAGCTAATTTGAACATCTCAAAATTATTCTGACATTTGAAGATAAGAATCAAAGTCTCAAATATTCATTTATGTGACAGACTTTCAACTTATGTTTAATGGTTATGCCATTATTGGGTGGTTAGGGATGGTTATTGGTTTTTTTTTTCTTCTAGGATAGAGGTGCAGCATTTTGGAGAGAAAGTTAGCATTGTTGAGCATGGTTTCTTTAAGGCAGGAGTAGCTAATTCAGATGTCATCGAGAGAGACTTAAGACTTTGGAACAGACCGACTCCTGAGATCAGGGACTCCTATGGAGAAAAATACTTTGTTGAATGTAAGTAGAAAAAGGACTGTATGAAAGCTCAGGGAGGATGTTACCAGTGTATATAAATACCTGAAGGGAGGCTGTAAAGACAACAGAGCCAGGCTCTTTTCAGTGGTGCCCAGGGATAGGACTCGAGGCAATGGGCACACACTGAAATACAGGATGTTCCCGCTGAACATCAGGAAACACATTTTTACTGTGAGGGTGACTGAGCACTGGCACAAGTTGCCCAATGAGGTTGTGGAGTCTCCATCCTTGGAGATACTCAATAGCTGTATGGACATGGTCCTAGGCAACCTGGTCTAGGTGACCCAGCTTGAGCAAGGGGGGGTTGGACCAGACGTCCCTTCCAACCTCAACCAATCTGTGATTCTGTGAACATTTGCTGGACTTCATTAACGTTTGTTAAGAACCCATTGCTGACTGTTCTGGACTATATGTATGTTAGATGAGGCCTGTCCTATTAGTTCCCATATGAGATTGTTGAGATGTGATGTCATGCTACCATCCTTAGTCCGTCCATAGTTAGAGGTAGATCGCCCAGGGGAAATGAATTGCTATGACCATACGCTAAGTTTATGGCTTACTGATATCTGAAAAGTTGTGCTGTGTCATGCAGCACTTAACTGTAGGGAACATCTGGCTCACAATATGGGCCAGGGAGGTTTCTGTTTACCAGGCTCTTGGGTGTTCTCCAGCCTTTCTGGTCTCTGCTCTGCTGTAGCTATACTGCTCTCAGTACTTGAGCCAGTAGTTTAAAGCAAGCCTGAAGCTGTAGCCAAACCTTTGAATATAAAGAATCCTCTCGCAGAGAATGTTGCATATAAATGCTTTCAGGTTTATTTTCTTCTTTGCAAATGTAAAAGCTCAAAGACCATCACTGAAAAGACCGTGTGCCTCTGATATGTCTAAGGTCATAAAATGCGTGGAACATGCCCTGATAGCAAAGTACCGCAGGACACGATACGGAGCTGGATGGGATGCAAAGTTCTTTTGGCTGTTTCTCTCCTGTGCCCCAAGCTGTTTATATGGCATGCTGCTGTGTATGACGTTTCCAGCACCAGCAGCTAGTGGGAGATCAGTTCCTGGAGTTCTAATTAACACTTAGTATTAAACCAGTATCAGCTGTGCAGAAATAAATATTAATCCTGCGAAACCAGACGTCCTCTTCTTTACCAGTTACTAGACTGCTTAAATTCCTTTCAGAAGACACTTTCTCCACCCCCCCCCACCCCTCCTTACGTCGAATTTCTGAGTTTGCAGATACGCTTGTAAATCCAGCATGTTTTTGAAGGTAATTTTTTATGCTCAGAAATGATACCTCTAAAGGATCTTCATTCATAAAATACTCAACTACAAAGCTGGTTAATACTACTCACCCAATATAAAAATTTTTAAATAAGAAAAATAAAATCACTAAAAGAATCAGTTTTCCAACTAGACTTCATCAACACATAGGCTGCTAGTGAACTTGAAATAAAACAATGGCCTTTAAGAACATGGATCTTATACATGTATCTTACAGAATGTACTTAGCCAGATTTAGTCATGTATTTCATGGGGGTTTTACTCATGGTCATATTCAGGAGTTGCTAAACTTAAGAAGCTTCTGAACACAAGACATGAAATCAAATAATAACAAAGCCCAGCTATTGTAACATATTCCAAAAATTACAATTGCAGTATTTGACCACATCTAATCACCTGACTATTCAACTGGGTAGAGATAAAACACAAGCTATTTTATAGACATGCAATTACAGGGAAAAGCAAAACTACATTGTACTCTGTTACTATGCAGAGTATCCAAACTTACATTTTAACCTTCTTCCTAATATTAGTATAGTTTATGAGGAAAATATTAAAAATAATATGCATTCACATTTCTTTCATCCTCAGCATCCTTTGCAAGTTAGAAGGATGATTATTTCACTCATTAAATGAAACAGGTCATTAGCGTATGCTATGGCAAACTATTTTCACTGTACAAAGAGTGTGTTCAGAATGGCAGAATGTTAGTTGAGGTTACTGTGCCTTTTGTACGCTATTTCTATCTGTTAAGCTGCTGGCCAGAGGCCCACAAACTGGCGTTCCTAGAGAGATTAAAATTGAAGGGGTAAAGGTTTTATTTGCTGAAGAGCTGCGCTGGTGATTAATCATTAATGTGCAATTCAATTAAGCTTACAAAAATACCATGTGCAGGTCAGAACTCCAAATGTAAGAAAAGGAGTTTCATCACTGTGTGTGAGGGGGGTGCGTGTGTGTGTTTGTACATGCACAAGAAAGGGACAGAATGTAAAAAGTGTTTAGTAACATTCAAGTATTTCATTGAGGTTCTATTCTCTGGCAAATGGCTTCAAGAATAAATTTATTTTACTTCATTTCATGATAGAGATAGTTCTCTCTATCTGGCCTGACAGCTGTAAAGAGACTGTGCACGAAAACACTTAATGGTATGATTTATCAGCCCTATAGTGGCAGATTACAGAGAGGTGCTGAAATCTCTAAAAATCAGCCTTCTTTGAAACAGAATGAGTCCAGAATTCAAGAATCCAAGCAGGGACTGTCCTCATAAGGGAAAAAGAATACAAGTGAAAAAATGAAGTTAGGAATAGAATCCAAAGCTTCTGTTGAACAAAGTACCAACAATTAAATTTTACATAATCAGAAGGGTACATTGTGGTATGCTACTGAGAGGAAGAGGCCCAGCTGAAGCTTAAGAATTCTTCACCATCAGGTATGTTAAACAATCATCAAACCTACATACTACCTATCTATACAGTATCCCAGGGACGGTTTTCTTCCACATCTGAAAATTTAAAATTCTTGGGGGGGAAGGGGGAAGTATCTCTGATACGTGGCTGACATATTAGCAGTTTTCTCCAAAACTGGTTCCAAATCTTTCTGTTGACAAAGACTATTCACAAAACTGATGCTAATTTTTCTTGTGGTATGCAACTGGAGGCGAGTCTTGTGGAAATGTTAGCCCTGTGTTCTCTCTTTAATAAACACTGTGAACTCTTTCCTTAAGAACAGCAACCTGTCTTTCAAAGAAATCCTTTCTCATAGCCTTACAGATGTGTATGCTGTGTCCCAGATTCCAAGGAATTTTCTACATTAAAGCACTCAGATATGAAAGTTAATCGAACTAAGGTTTTAATCGCTTATGTCCATACCACCTTGATAGTCAGTCTCTTACAATCCATAATAAGAGTTTTCTGTTTCAAGGACCAGTTTATTTAATGTGTGTAATGGGGCAGTTTTCACACTTACAGTGATATGATGTCAGTGATGTTATATCAAGAACTTTAGACAGTTGTGTGAAGCAGTAAGCACTATTCTTATTTGACTTTATCTAAAGCACTGTTGTTTTCATCTCAGAGTACGCTGAAGTCTCCACAACTGAAAAAAGTACATAGAGCCTTGACACAAATTATGGAATAAAGGTGTGACAAAATAATACATTTATTAGATTTATTCAGCAGCATAATTTTCCAGTTGTCTTTTCTAATCGAAGTACATTACAAAGTAATTATAAGCATTCTAATTAGAAATAGTATATATTTTGAGAACTCAGATATAAAACAATCAAATAGCAGAAGTCTCAATGATTATAACTT